AGCAGATTATTCATTTCTTGAGTGATCTGAAAAAAGTCTGCAGACAACTGCAAGTTACTGAAGGGGCTATGAGTTTTACAGCAGGGTTATATTATCCAGGTATTTTGTGAATACTAAGGAGTGGCTAGTAATCTCTGTTAACTTTCAAGTCTGTGAATATGCAGGGGCAAACAGTACTGTCTGCAACTAAAACCAGGCAGGGCTTGGGCTTGACACAGGATCCCAAGAGGTTAGTCTAGCGGTAGTGTTAGCACTGCAGTCCTCCACGCTGCTTTCTAAAGCTGTGGATAATGAGGGAATGTGAAAAAGATGTGATTTCAAACTGGAAAGCTGTACTGGGGCTAAGTACAAAGTCCTTGGGGCAGAGCCCACAGACAGCTCAGTACCTAAGAGCTTCACACGACCAAAATTGCACTCCCTAAACCTCACTGTTTCTCTCCACCCCCCCTTTACTGTATTTGCCACCTGCAGCCTGAGGCAATGTGTCCTGAATTTGCTCATGACTCCCAAATTAAATATTTTTTTCAGTCTGATTTGCAAACCCTTGTTCTGCCCCCACCTCCGCCTCCCCCCATCATCTTGTCTACCACCGAAAATTGTGATGTTCTCCCCAAGGTTCCAGGAAACCGTGTGACTAATTAAGCAGTTGGGGTGACCTCAGGTGCAAAGAAAAAGCCAGTCAGATGATGGGCTGCTGCCCCCTCTCCAGCAAGTGCATTCCATCTCTGCATGTGTCTGCCCTGCTGCTTCCTAAGGGAAAGGAAAATGCCAGGCTTCTCTGGGCTGCCTGCTCTGGACTCTCACAGCACAACCAGACTGGCAAAACCAATTTTCCTGCCGTGGAAGCAAAAGCATCGGGGCCTGGGCATAACATTCTCTTCCCTCCTAGAAGAATTTGCTTCTTTAATCGCACAGTGGGGTGGTTCTGTTCCTTCAGGCTTTTGGGTAGTTTGGGGCCTGTACATCAGAGGATTTGTGAGAAGAGTCTGCAGCTCACACCCAGGTTGCCAGGGGTGGCACACAGCAAAGTAGTGGGGACATCTTCAAAAAGCCATATGTGAGAGATAGCAGCTCTGGATTTCTGTGTCTTCCTCACATCTAAATGCTGCAGGAACTTTGCACAGGTCCTGCTGGTGAAGGGGCCTGGTACCATTTCTTGCCTCTTGGATAAAAGGTCTTTTGCTGAGCTTGGAACTCTGTGGGGGCTGGGAAGTCCTCCATGGCAGCATCCCATCCCTTAGAGCAGGGACTTTCCAGCAATCACAGTGCTTGTAGCAGCAAATTTAACTTCTGATTTTTGAAAGGCTGCTGTTCCCTGCATGGCTACACTCTGCGTGTCTATATTCATGTGTTTACCTTCATCAATGTATCAGGAGGAAGAATTGCTTCATCTCCCAGCAGGAAACCTCAGACTTGCCGAGGCAGCTGGAGAAACAACAGAGAAAGAGGCTCACTCTTGATACTCTGCAGGAGGATTTCATCATAGCCCTGCATGGGTGGAATGTTCCTACTTGTCTCTACTCTCTCGGAATCTGTAGACATGCAGTTACTCCACATGTCAGACAAAAAAGAAGAGTTTTCCAACTGCAGATCTGATGCTCAATTACAGAATGGAGCCTGACAGCTACTACTACTGGGTATTAATAACTTTGCTTCACTTTATGGCTTTAACAGCTGTAGCAACCAAGATTTATGATGACACATTACTTTCAGAAATGCATCACATAAGGAAACTAATTTGACAGTACCAGGTCACTGAGCTGACTTACAGGCTTTTAAGCAAGTTTCTTCTGCCAGATTTGCTGCCCTATTTACTGGATAAAAATGAACAACTTGCACTGTTTTAATATAGCTCCATACTTGCCTGTGTTTTGGCAGCTCACAGTCTCTTTTCCCTTTGTCACACTGCCTTCCCAGGAGTCAGCTGATCCTTCTTCATTCCCCATCATCTTTGAAATATGTCCAGTGCTGTGTATCCTGAAGAAGGGTACATCCCAGAAGAGGAGAGGAGGGAGGAAGTTGGGAGGAAAGACTGGAGCAAGAGGCAGAGATGAGGGTTGGAGCATCTGTGGGAGAAAGGGGAGATGACAATTATCCAAGAGCAGAGGGGTACGGTGGCTGCCAGCACTCACTGTCTTGTGGCAGGATTGTATCTGTATCCCCGTCATTCTTGGAGAAAGTATGTCTTGCAAAGATTGGGATCACCCATTGTTTCTCCCTAGATATAGAATAAGAGCTGGCAGCAGGAAAGTCCTAAATAACTGCTAAACATTAAGATTGTATCCTGGAATTGTGTCTGGGCCTTTGTCAGCCACCTCAGCAGCCACAGCACCTGAGCAGTGCACCTGAGCCCACGATTTTTAATCTCTTGTCTCAGCAGTGGGCAGTATATTTCCATGTTTTCTATCCTCATGGCACTATAATCCACTGCACAGACACAAGTGGATGGGTAGCAGAAGGGAGCTTCTCCTCAGCGGTAAATGGGCTCATTCATTACTCAAATATGCATTCCTCAGTATTCCTGCAATTTACTTAGGAGCCTGGTCCAGCCGACTTTAATGGTATTTCCAATTCCCATCCCAAAGACCCTTTGTATGGCACCCGTGAAAAGCAATTAAAAAGAATAAGCTTATTGTCAGGAGGTCTAAGTTCACTGCAGAGAGTACTGTGCGGTGTACTGTTCCCCTGACAAATACTCAAGGTCTGCAAGTCAGAGGATAAGGAAAACACCCTAAAACAGAGTGGATACCTCTTTGTGTTTACAAATGCTTTTGTGAAACAAAAACTTTTAAACAAATAATGTAAAGTGTGAATGTTTGATTAATACTTTAACATCTGTAATAGCAGTATGTGGCTGCAGTTTATCTTTGTCTATATTGGTATCTAATAAATATTCCCAATAGAAAATATTTCTTAATAAGTACTTCAATTGCTCCCCACGTGGCAACAGAAAATACACTGCCCAAAATCATCAGTTATTGTCAAAAGGCAATATTATTTGAGGCAGAATTCTTGCTGAAGAAAGATTGCTCACTCTTAAGAGGTGAGATCATTTACTATTTTAATGTCCAGGTGAGACATTTCCTTACAAGTGGTTACGTTTCTCTCATTTGTGCTACTACTTCTCTTTGAGTTCCCTATTTCTCTTTCTAATTTTAGAAACATAGGGAAAAAGTGTTGCGAGAGATCTGGATCCTTGTGTCCAGCTCCATACCACCACAGGCAATCATATTACATGTTTTCTTTTCTAGCTTCATCTTAAACCTAGTTTTATTCCCTTCTCTCCTTCAAGGCTCTAAAATCACGATTATCTCATTGGACAACAAGATGGTAACTTGACTCAAATCTGATTCTTGTGACAATGTCATCCTTTAATTTAAATAGATAATTTTGTTTCCTTTTATTTATCCCAGTGGGGCAATATTGGAGTAAAAGAAGTAATTATAGAACCCATCCCTATTCCTGCTCAGCTTTGGCTTTGTTGGTGAAACAAGGCAGGTCTGTTGTGCTTGCTAGGCAAAAAGGAGCTTTCCAGTTTCCTCATTCAAGGCCAGCTCTTTTCCATATGTGTGCCGGTTTTAGTTCATCTTTCTTGACTATGTATGGCCAAACAGTGTAACAGATGTAGTGGTGATTTTTTTTCCAGTGCTTTGTAAGTACTTTTTAAACTTCTACTAGGATTATGTCAGCTGGCCTGTCCTAGATTGCGTTGATTTTTCCCCTCGCTTCTATTGAGTCCTGATTATCCTAACAAAAGGCAGATACCCCTGTATTTGATGAAACATTGTGTTCTCAGCACAAATTGCAATTTTGAAATTTTACCCTCAGAACTCACAATCTTGCACCCTGCACTATTAACCACCAGCTGATTTTTATGACATTGCATCTCCAAGTTGATTCCTGTCCAGTCATTCCATCATCCTTGTCCGTGCACAGAGCCTCCCACAGCCTATCAGCCACAGTTTAGTTTCCAATAGCATGCTGTTTCAACGCTGCTGTAACGTCCTTGTGAGCCCAACCTTGTAGGTTCTGGCTGAGCGCCTGGTTTGGCTGTTTCCAGTCGAGCATCACAGAGAACTCTTTGGCAGAGCTGGACGTCTAGGATCTCTGCTGACTGCTGTTCTGTCTGGGACAAGGTGCCTTCCGGAAAGTCCTATTGTATTTCAGTCAGCTCTTCATCGTAGCCTACAGATTTACAGCATCACAGAACCAACTAGGTTGGAAAAGACCTCTGAGATCATCGAGTCCAACCCATGACCAAACATCACCATGGCAAGTAGATAATGGCACTGAGTGGCACATCCAGTCTTCCTTTAAACAACTCCAGAGACGGTGACTCCATCATCTCCCTGGGCAGTCCATTCCAGTACCTAATCGCCCTTCCAGTGAAGAATTTCTTCCTTTTGTCCAACCTGAACTTGCCACAGCTTAAGACTGCCACAGCTTAAGACTGTCGTCTCTGTCGACTGTCCCTTGTTGCCTGGGAGAAGAGACTGATCACCACCCGGCTACATCCTCCTTTCAGGCAGTTGTAGAGAGCAATAAGGTCTCCCCTGAGCCTCCTCCAGACTAAACAAACCCATCTCCTTCAGCCGCTTATCATGGGACTTGTTCTCCAGATCCTTCACCAGCTTCGTTGCTCTTCCTTGGAGTCGCTCCAGCCCCTCAACGTCCTTCCTGAACTGAGGGGCCCTTTGAAAAGTTTGTATTTATATGGGAGGGGGAGAGGGAAGCGGCCGCTGGGCGCTGTGTGTGGAGTTCGCGGGGCGAGCCCCCGAGGTGGCGGGCGAAGGCTCCAGGGCGCGGGCGGCCACTCCCGTCCGCTCCCCGCCCCAAGCACCGCGGCCTCCCCGAGCCGAGCGCCCGGCGGCCGGACCGGCAGCCAGAGCCGCCCCCGCTGCGGCGGAAGGGCCGGGCCGGGCCGGGAGGGGCCGGGCCGGGGCGGGGCGGCGGTGAAGGGCCATAAAGGGCGGTCGCGGGCAGCGGTGAGGTTGGCGCAGTTGCTTGGGGTGAGCGAGCGGTAGGGCTGAGGTGAGCGGCGGGGCCGGGGCTCTTTTCCCCCTCTCTGGGGCTAAGCCGGCGGGGCGGGCGGGCTCTCCCGGGAGCAGGCGCTCAGCAGCGCTTCTGTCGTGGCTGTGGGTGCTGGAGGCGGCGTAACGCGGGTTCCCCGCTGCGGGCTCTGCTCGGCGCGCTGAGGGGATGAGCGTCCCGCGGAGGGACGGGAGCCCGACCTCCCGCCCTCAGCGCCGCTGGGCTCTGCGGGGACAGACCCGTGGACTTTTTTGGGTGTTGTGTCAAATTATATGTCTTATAGGAGAAAGTTACTGCTGCAGCGTAAAGCGCCTAGTCGTAACCAAGGTGAAGGTGTGTAGTCCTCGCTCATTTTTGCCTCTGATTTTGAGTGTTGTATTCAATGCTCTTTGCATTATCTATTAGTGCTATTGCAGTATCTTTGCAAGATAGTGTCTCCTGCCTCCGTAGTGGTTTTCTTCCCAAGGAGTGAGCATCTTCGAGTGTCAGATTAGTGAAGGGCAGTGAAGCAAGAGGCATGGGAGCTGCTAGCATCCCGAATACACTGGAGTAGCTAGGAATCTGTTGTCACTAACATAAACCTTGCCGAGTAGGCAAACACAAATGATTTGGAGGTTGATAGCCTGAGAATTAAACTCTCTACTGAACTGGAAATGAAATACTTTGTCTTCCTCACCCCGAGGGCAGCAATATGCGTTATTCTCCTAGGTGAGGGTCACCAAGCAGAACCAAATGTGTGTGGTGGGGTTGGAAGCACTGATCTAAGTCCTTTCTGGTCCCTGGGTGAGTGAGCTGCGTGTGTTGTCTTGGCTACAGAGAGAGCTACAAATGGGAAAGAGGAGAGGTAGTAGTGGAAAGCACTTGCAGCTTCAGTTAGAAGTCATGGGAAGACTCTTGTGTTCTGTAGTGATCTGAAGGATTTAATAGAAATACAGTGAGTTTACAAAGGAAGTAGACTTTAATGTGCTTGAACTGCCTGAGAGCAACTGCTGGCAGGCTTGATGCTTTTGTGGTTTTGCTGTGTTGGAGCATTAAGGATCGAGCTTGAAGAACCTCTTGATTTGTCCTAGATTAATCATCTTGCAGATCACAGGTTGGTTTTGTACCTGCTGGTGCTGATGTAATCCATGGCAGCACAGTTTGTAATGCAGCAGCTCATGCTCAAGGACAGAAGCTACCACCCCAGAAGCATTTTGACCTCACTGTGTACTTGCTCTAGGATTTGACTCTCTTCATCCGAAGAGGTGGCAGGTTAAATGAGTTGCTCAAAAATGAAAAGCTGGAAAAAGGGAGGTCTGAGATGACAATAGCTGGTCTTTGAAACTTGCTTTAAAATCTTCCATGCACCGTGCTGTTGCACAGTAGGAGACTATAGGGTTTGGTTTTTCATTCTTGGTAGACAAGAGTTAATTTGCTTAAGTTTGACTAGTCTGACCTTGGCAGCTGCAGTCTTCAGGAGTACTTGGGACAGAAGAAGATGGGGCCTCAGTCTGTAGCTGTCAGGAAGCACCTGGCTGCACAGAAACCTAGAACACTCAAAGTGGTGCTAATACCCTTTTTTTTTTTTTTTTTTTTGAGTTGCATGACTGTAGAACATCTGTAAAGTATCTACACACTACAAAAGGCAAGTGACTTAGGGAGTCTTGTCACAGATAATCAGATCATTCTCTTATGCTTGAAATGTTCAGACAAGGCTGTGACCAAGTCTGGCTAGTGAGATTCTGGGTGTTAAAAGAGTAACATGAACTTGACACTCACCATCTGAATTTCTCCCAGATCTTACAAGCTTGTTTGCCCTTCACAAATGAGCAGAACTTGGGGCAAGTATGAATATTTCCAGAAAGTAATTTGGTTAGGTAGTGTCTCTGAAGAAGGGTAGAGAGTTGCTTACAAAGACCAGAGTGCCCATTGAATGCTCTTATCTGACTTTGCAGCTGAAATTCTGTCCAGGATGTTGAAGAGCTGCAGCTTTTTGTAGGAACAAGATGACTTTGGCCTTTATCCTGTGAGTGATAGATTCTGGATTGTTCAGAAAGGAAAGAGTTCTATGAAAAGGAAGGAATCTTGTATCTCTGGTATAATTTAAGAGTTATCAGTGGATATCTAAGCCCTGAAACTAACACCTGAGGGTCTTTTATGGTTGTGTTAGCTGGAGACAGTAGTTTGAGCAGCAGTTCTACATGCATCATGATGCAGCTTCAAAGCCTAACTCTCAGAAGTGCTTTGCAGCTCATCTCACTTCAGCTGGTGATAAGTTTAGCCTTAGGTAAAGCTTGTGTCATCTTTGGTAATTTCCATTTGACCAAACTACTTTCCTGAAGTAACTCTACCTCACCAAAAAAAAAAAAAAAAAAAAGCATTTTTTTTTTTTTTTTTTTTTTGGCTACACCAATAGAAAATCTGTGTTTGATTTCAGGTGAAAGGATGGCCGATAATGATTAATACATAGTTATTTCTTTCTAGTTTGTGTCTGTGTGAATGGGCAAAACCAGAGCCTAGGAATAGGTCTAGGAAGCACAAACAAAAGCTCTGACTTGTCTTTTTCTTCTTGTATTCTATCTCCATACAGTTTCTTTGGAGAAGAAAAGCCCTAGGATGGCAGGCAAAGGAAGTAGCAGAGCAGACTCCATGTCCTGCAGTGTACTGAACTGGGAGCAGGTCAGCCGTCTGCACGAGGTTCTTACAGAGGTGGTTCCGATCCACGGGCGGGGGAACTTCCCAACGCTGAAGGTAACCCTGAAGGACATTGTTCAGACGGTTCGGAGCCGGCTGAGCGAAGCGGGCATTGTGGTCCACGATGTCCGTCTGAATGGCTCTGCAGCTGGTCATGTCCTGGTCAAGGATAATGGGTTGGGATGCAAAGACCTGGATCTCATTTTTCAAGTTTCTCTTCCAAATGAGGCAGAGTTTCAGTTAGTTCGAGATGTGGTCTTGCGATCCCTCTTGAATTTCCTGCCGGAAGGTGTAAGCAAGCTGAAAATCAGTCCTGTAACACTGAAGGAAGCCTACATCCAGAAGCTGGTCAAAGTGCACACAGAGACTGACCGTTGGAGCTTGATATCGCTTTCCAACAAGCATGGCAAAAATGTGGAGCTTAAGTTTGTAGACTGCATACGACGACAGTTTGAGTTCAGTGTGGACTCGTTCCAGATCATTCTGGACTCCCTGCTCTTTTACTATGACTACTCAGAAACCCCCATGTCGGAGCACTTCCATCCAACTGTGATTGGAGAGAGCATGTATGGAGACTTTGAAGCAGCTTTTGATCACCTCCAGAACAAGCTGATAGCTACCAAAAATCCTGAAGAGATCCGAGGTGGTGGATTACTGAAGTATAGTAACCTCTTAGTACGAGACTTCAGGCCCATGGATAAAGATGAGATCAAAACATTGGAGCGCTACATGTGCTCCCGATTCTTCATAGACTTCCCAGACATCCTGGATCAGCAGCGCAAGCTGGAGACTTACCTCCAGAACCACTTCTCCAAAGAAGAGAGGAGCAAGTACGACTACCTCATGATTCTGCGCAGGGTGGTGAATGAGAGCACTGTGTGCCTCATGGGACATGAGCGAAGGCAGACTCTCAATTTGATTTCTCTGCTGGCACTCAAGGTGCTGGCAGAACAGAATGTCATCCCTAATGCCACTAATGTAACCTGTTACTACCAGCCAGCACCTTATGTCAGTGATGCAAACTTCAGCAACTACTACCTTGCAAATGCCCCTGTGCTGTATAGCCAGTCCTACCCTACTTGGTTGCCTTGCAACTGATCGCTTCCCTTGAGGGCTCCTGGGTGGAGGCTACTGAAAGCCATAATGCTGAGTGTAAATGTAAACAAGTAATAATGTCAGTTGGATGTTCTCTAATGGAAACATGACTGTATCAGACTGTCCATTTCCTGGTGTGCAGTGGGATTATGCAGCCAGGTGACCTGCTATGAACCTTTCAGTGTATTTCTACAAATGCCAAAAAGCCTTATTACCTCTTCATCAGGGAGAAGAGAACCAGCAGCTAAATGTTAAGAGGAGTAGTTAAGAAACTTTGTACTAGCTCTGGAAGTGGCTGTTAACATGTGATCTAAGTGGAGTATTCAGTAAACTGGGTTGGTTAATCGACTGTAAAATGCCTTAAGCAGAAGCTGCTCCTGGAGTAGTGGCAAAACTCTTTCCATTCCCTAACCTCATTACTCTTCCTCAGTCGAAGTTCTGTCCAAATTTCTCTTGAACTAATGGTGCCAAGACTGGGCTCATGTTATGCTTGGGCTGCTTTTACTTAGTGTCTGTGTAGAGCTGGTAAGAGTATGGATACTGTCTGTCTTGTAGAGGACATAAATGTTGCTTCCTGTCGTGCCTATGGATATGTGATCCTGCCTGGAGTTCAAGATTAATTTCTTGCAGTTGAACACAGTTTAGTAAGTCTATTTATAAAGCATAAACTGGTTAAATTTTTCTTGACTACAAAAACTTGGAAGGTGGCATTCCTAAATACACACCAAAACACAATCTAAAACTTGGTAATGTGAAAAGTCCTTGAATTGAGGAATTGAAGCTTTAAATAGAATTGGATCCACAGTTTGAACACTTAACTTGGAAAAAGATTTTTTACTCCAGCATAAAGCTAAAGCCTTTCTGAATATCTTTCAAAACAATTTCAGCACAGTTGGAAAGTAGAACAGCTCTTACTTTGGGGTTTGACCAGATTTTCTTCCTCACATGTCCACAGTAAAACCAACAAAAACCCTAAACAAAAATCCCAAGCCACTATAATTTGCAGGATTATGTGCACTCCTGCCTCAGTACAAATTCTAAAAGTGCCTCCTAAAATGAATTTCTTATTGTACAACTTCAGGCAGGTCCTGAAGGTTTGTCTTCCTGTCACTGCTGAAGGGTTGAGCTTACTGGGTTATCCCTATCACCTGGTCACTTTGATATGGCATTTTGAGTGGTTAGGGTAAAATTCTTCCTTTTTAGTGCTCTTAACCCTCACTTGAAGACATGTAAAAGTCCTAAGCAGCGCTCTCCCAGGACCTGTATGTATTGAAAGTCCGGGCCTCAGTTCAGAATAGTCTCTGGGAGAGTGTGCACTCTCTTGTAGGTACAGGGGGCTGATCTTTGTCAAGGGTATGTGCTGAACTTGCTGCTTTGAGACTCCTGGGCTTTATAAGGAAGGTTAAAAATTCTTCAGTTATTTATATAGTGGTATTATTAACTGGATGATTTTCACTGGATTATAATAGTAAAATACATATAGCAGTGATCATGAGTTTCTTTTGTTTAACTAGAGACATAGACTAGAAAGGCAAATAGCGCTATTATTATGTGCTGATGCAATGTTCAAAAATGCTTTTTCACTGAATCTTTTTGATTACTTCTATAACTATTTATTACTATTCTGCAAGCTTGTAAGACCAAAGTGCCTCATCCAACCAATGATTAAGGCTTAGAAGGTAAAGAAGAAAGCAAGTGGAACACCAATGTTTGGTTGCTATTCAGTGTGGAAAACAGCAGCAATGCTGTGCTTAAATGACAGTAAAAATTGCCTGCTCCTCATAAGATCAACAAGTTCTTTCCAGTTTTCATAACTACTTCATAAAGACTGTCTCAACAGAGCAGCGAGGCTACTGCTCTGCTCAGATTTAGCTCAGGAAGGCAGGGAGGGATGTGATCTACAAAGTGGACTGTATGTAGCCAAGGAGGCTTGGCTTAATTTCCTGAACAGTTTTGATAGTAGCTTTGGTAGCAAAAAGACAAGTAATTTGGTGGATTATATTGTGGGGTTTTTTTTCATTAAAGACTTCCTGATTAGTCAGCCAAAGTAGGTAAACTTGAAAGAAAACCTGGTCTTTTTCATGAACTGTGGCTTGGACTTGGTGTGGTTTACAGACAAGACATCTGTCATCCAAGACTTTGACTTTTTTAAAACATGATACCAGTGTTGTCATATGTGTTAAACTTAGTTCAAGTTTACTGCTGGAATGCAATCCTAGGCAAGAATAACTCCTGCATGCAAAGCAATACTTGGCCTAGTATAGAGTGTCACTAGAAAGAAGACTTAAGAGTTTGTAATTGCTGTCATCTCTTGCATAGATGTGTATGAAGCCAACCTATGCTATAGCCATTGCAGAAGTGAACCGTTGCCTAGAGGGGCTTAGATTCAGGTATCTGCCTTCTATGATGTCATGGCTGATCTTTAGGAACTGTTTTTGTGCATTGGCTCACATGGAAGAAGTGGTGAGATGCTTGGGAGAAGTCCTCACAAGCTGGAAACACAGACTTGTTTTATTAGTCTTTAATGCCTTGGCTGCTGAACATCAGGCCTGGAAAAAGAAATGCTAGAGAAGGAAAAAAGGCTGAATTGGATTCCTAGTGTGATGGAGCTATGGAGAAGTTAAGTTTCCTGACATAATTATTGTGCTTTTGCTGATGTAACTTGATGCTGAAGCCTCTGAGGAAGTTCCACATTGAATTGCTGCTCTCTGAACAGCTGAGTGCCTGGGTTTAAGCCTTGCAGAATTCTTGTGTTCCCTGTCTGGTTGTTAAGATACTCTGGCACGTAGGAAATTCTGATGCTTTCTAACTCAGCTCTTAGATACTAAACTCTCAAATGGTTAAATTGTATTCTGAAGCTGCACACTACCTGCTGCTTTGATGCTGGAGTACCCGGGATTGCTGGGACACTGCTTGTCCCATTGCCTTCAAAATAATCCTGGCTTGGCAGGTAACGCTGGTGTACTTGGTAGCTTTTCATCACTGTGCTGCAAGTAGCCTGCCACTTTCTGTTATGGGTTGTCCTGGCAGCTTGATGGGTGAGAGTGGCAGTGGCTTAATTTGCTGTGGGTTAGCTGGTTTGAGTTCAGCTTTATGGTGACCCCTATAGCAAGGGATGATTTGAGAATGAGCACTAGGTAAAAGTGATGACCCTAGGCCAAGTCTAGGATGCCTGCTTGGTTCAGTCACCCCTCGGCACTAATAATGCCTTTGCAAACCTGTTCTAACCTCTTGTGTGTCATGCAGAGGTTAGAGAGAAGCTACTGTACTTAAGGCTGTTACCTGATACATTCTCTCTGGGCAGTGGCATTAAAACAAAGCTTCAGTAACACTCAGTGCATCATTCCTCAGGATCAAACTTCTACTAATTAGGCTGTGGTATAAAATAGCTGTTTTCTTCATGTAGCTTCTAAGACAAAGCCAGTCTGAGGTTAAGCAGCTGTTCACAACATTTACTGCCAAGTTCACCTTGACTTGCAGCTTATCGTTGTGACTTCCTCACTGTAAGATAGACCTTTTTTATTTGATAGAGATGCTACCAAGGAGATCTGGTAGGAGACAGTGTTTTAGTCACTTTGGTAAAATCCTTGTGCTGATCCATGGTCCTTGTGACAAGTTGTAAGCTAAAGCATAGTCCGTGCTTACTCTGCTAAAGATTTAATTATTGCTGTTTGTCCTCACCTCAGTCAGCCAATCACTAAGCTGGGGGTTTAACACTACTGCTTGCTTCTGAATAACCATTTTTTCAAAAGATCCTCATGCTTTCACATAAATCACCTCCTATTACAGTAGGTAGTATTTAAATCTTATCCAAATAGCTTTAGGTATTTGATTTGATTGAAACTTAAAGATCCATATTTTGGATTTGAGTTTTGGGGTTAAGCATTTGGTATGTGCCTAGGCATTGTGGGTTCCTGATTCCTAGAATAACAGCTGATGTTGATAGTGATCTCTGCTTGTCACTATATGAGTAGTTAGGAAAAGGCCTCTTAGAAGAGAACCTGGACAGATTGCCTTAGTTCTAAACTCAATGTACTGATGGTACTTGTTTCCTGCTCCTCTCGCTCAGTCAGGATTTTGTAATTGTGTGGTAATGAGCAGTAAGTGGACTACAGCCACTGGCAGCTTGGTCTAATTTGGGCATTGGGAGAGCCAAATGAATAATAAAACTTCTAGCCCTCACATCGAAGTCTTACTTAATATTTCTTGAATACAGTTAAGTGTACTTCATAAATGTTCTTTATTTTCAGTGAAGCTAGATATAGAGTGGGACGTTGGTCTACAGTAGAAACTTTGGGGGAAGCAGTTGGAACACTCGAGGTTTTTCTCAGTTAAATGTCTGGATGGGGCTTGTCTCTACATAAAACTGCACTTTCCATTTAAATTTAGAAGGCCTTTTTTCCTATGTTTCTTATTTTTTACTATTAAAAGAAGTCGGCTCTTGAAAAACCTGTCTCTCATCTCTTTGGAAGAAGTGAGTTTTGATTTGTTTTTTCTTTCTCCCCTCTCCTCTTCTTTTAGCTGGCAAAACAGGGTACTAGAAATATTTGGATTTGTGATGAGCCCAAATGTGAGATTGGTCACAGTATCTTTGTCTACTGTTCTTCACTGTCACGTTCACTTGTCGTTCTTGGAAATTGGGGTTTGGACCTTAATGATGCTGAAATTCTTGTTCAAATAAACTTATGCTAAACAACCCTTGCCTCAAGCTATTTTTGCATCTAAATAATGCTGACAAAGTATCTGTAGAGCTTATTGATCAATGGGTCTGCAGGTGCACTTGTGAGGTGATTAATAGTGTGGGGTACACAGTAATGCTTGCTTTAGATGTTATTCAAGGTACTTTTTTTATATCTTGCCTCACCTTATTGAAGATTAGTCAGTTAAGGGAGATATGATTAATCTTTCACTTCCATTATAGAGACAGCTTCTAGGGAATCATTTTTTCCCTGTCTGACCGTCATCTGGTCTCAGTTTTAAGATATGGTCAAACACAGACATAGACCTGTTAGGTAGGGTCAAGTCTGAACTAGAGCCTGCCAGTCTGTTCTGTGACACACTCAATTTTATATGCTACTGCAAACTTTAATTCATTACCTAAACGGGTAAGAAATAAAGTCAACAATTGTTCTTCAGATTATTTACAAGTTGAAAGCCTTTACTTTCAGGCTATCCTAAACGCTGATGCTACTGTTAACCAATGGTCAGTGGGAGTTGAGCAGGTCAAAACTATGTACAAGCTAGGGTTGTGTGGCAGTCCACTTGCTGTTCCTGCTCTAGAATAAAGAATAAATGCTCTTAAAAAATGTGCTTGCTTCTAATCCCCTCCAGAGCTCAAACTCTAGCCTCAGTTAAGTATTGCTGGAGAAATTCCAGTCTCCAGGACCTTGTAACACATGCAGTGGAAACTTCTGTGGAATTTAGAGGCAGCGTGATCCCATGGAAATAATCATGAACCTTGTGTAGTCACTCTTCCAGATCTAGTTGCTTCCCTATTAACTTAAATAAAGAACTGATAATGCAGCTGGGCAACACCAACCATCTGCTTGTCACCTGCAACTCTCTTACCTTACCTCCTGTTTGTCACATCATGAAAGCTTCAGAGTTATTTTAGGTGCCACCCTTATGTTTTTAGAATACCAGATAGTGAAACAACAAAATAGCTGTGCTTAGGCAAGTGCTGCCAGAGTACTCTGTATGTTCCATATAAAGATTATATAATGGCAAACATTCAGAGGAACTAAAGAAAGATATTTTTGCTCTATAACAGTTGTATTGTTAGTGAAAATGAGTATCCTGTTCTGGTGTATCTGCTAGAACTCTGCCTTCTCCATGCTATGCAAGATGAGCTCAGTCTTGTCATGGGCTGTGAGGCATTAGATGCATGGTATTCTAGATTATTGTCTTTTTTCTGTCAGGTGTACTTATTTTCTCCTTCCTTCTATGATGGAATGCTTAGTATTTTTGAAATCAGAGAATTCAAAGTGCCCTTACAGAGACAGAGTAGTTGGTCCTATAAGAGGGGAAAAAAAAATCTGTGCATTCCTTCTTATTTAATGTTGCTTATTACATATTGGTGTATTTAGTTCATCAATACATTAAATACCTACACTTGCTATTTTCAGCAATAAAACAGCATTTTTATTTATCCAGCTTGAATATGGGTATAAAATGTAGCAGTTGTGTTTTGCTGCAGTAGCAGTGCTGTGATCTGTTCTGCTTCATCTCAACGAGTTCCTTAGCCTATAGGCAAGACTGCCCTGTCGGGGGAGTACTTAACCCATTCCTAGGAGGAAAATCACAGGTTTGGCAGGCTGAGTCCTCATGCTGGAAAAAGTGATTCTTGACAAAAACTTTGTGCGAAGCAGCTGCTAGAGCCTAAGCTGATAGTTTCTGTGTGTGTTAAGGAATCCTATACATTTTTTACTGTTTTCCCATTTGACCCTTGTCTGAGTGGTTTAATTAACCAGCAGGAACGAGTTGCCTAGGCTATGCTGCAAAATGCTGGCTGTTTTTGTCACTGGTACGTAGATTAGAGGACAATCCATATCACCCCACTGCTTGGAAAATAGAGTAGTCCAAGCTCTGGGTGAAGTCTGGCCAAGATAGAGGGCTGGCTGGTCTAGTCTGTGTCAATAACATTTTGTCACTGAGAAACCTCTGTAGAAACTCCTGCATACTTCAGGAGATTCCCAAGACTTGATTGCACCTCAGTCAAAGGGAAATTCCCCTTGTAAGAGAAGGGTTGAAGTGTGAGAATTCTAATTTAGTCACTACTGCATGCAGCAAGGCAGATCTGAGTGTGCCAGATATGTGGAATGTGAATTACACCCACAGACCAGTCCATTTGGGGGTGCCCTTCTTGTTTCAGAACTGTCTGTCCATCTGCAACAATTCCCTTCCCCACCCCCTCTCTATTGCTTATCTGAAAAACTTGCTCTGAAAGCTATATCTCAATGTTCCTCCCTGAAAGTTAGTGCCCTAAGCTTGCCCTAAAGATAGTGCCAATTCACCGTGTACTGGGAGAACCTGTTCTAATATTTGATTGTGATCATTACTGAGAATTTCAATTGCATTTTCACATTGGGCTTTGAACTTCATCTTTGGCCTGTGGATTGCTGCATCCTTAACAACAAGACTGAGAAGTCCCAGATGGTCTCTTGCTATCCACTTATCTCTTCAGTTCTTGGATGAACTGAAGAAAATAGGCACTTGAAGCTTTATGTTGTATACATTGGATTCAGAAGCCAGAAATGTTTTCTTCTGTAACTTCATTGTTCCAGTTTCTTTTGACCAGCACCAGCTGTTAGCTCAGTGCTCTATATACTCCTGAAAAATGGTGCTCAGGTTCCTTCTCAACCTCTTGATGTTTGTGTCCACAAACTCTGCCTGCTGTTTTTGCCATGGCATTATGGCATGCCGAGTAAGTTATCCATAGTGATTTTAAATTCCATCTGCTGCTTTCTGAGGCAGCCTCTACTATCTGCTATCAACAATATCCGTGCTCCTGGTTTCCAGATGTGGTATTTTTGCACTTGAGGGTATTGGAAAAACATTTTGTCTGAATTCTGTGGGCAAATACTCACGAAGTGGATGGACAGAGTAATTCATCTTCATTGTTTACTACCATGCTGTTTTCAGTGTTGCATAGTTCTCATAGTTTTGCATTGTTCTTGCATACTGAAGGGTACATGACGTGGTTGTGGGCACTTTGAAACCTGCAGGTGGTTTAAAACCAGTGTCAGCATAAAGTCCACAGAGGTACTGGATGCAGGTTATTTTGGTAACTTTTATTTATTCTGCAAATACAGAGTAGGGACAGAGAAGGAACCTTCTATTCTGTCAGTGTTTAACAGCAACTCCTCAGTCCTTTCCTCTGCACCCCCACATCTAAAACTCTGCAGTTACAAGTGTTGTTGGGGCTTACTATCTAATTACTGATTCTACTTACTGTTAATAAGGAATAGATGAGTAGTCAAAGGGTCTTTGGTTTGGCATAACTGAAGAGCTCCATGTTCCTGCTCTTGCCATCACATCTGTAACTCATCACAGTCATCTGCCTGTCTTGCTGCTCTTACGGAGCTCCCCAAATGTTGCACAGCCCTGACTAATTGCCAGGACTGATGTAAATCTCTAGACACCCATGAGTTCCCTTCCACTTTGTCCTCCTGGATAGCCTTTCTTAAGGCTGGGACAAAGTAAATTATTGTGGTGATGAGAGCCTGCCATAGGAACATTCCAAATTCCCAGTGACACAAGTGGGAGCTTGTCCAGTGCTGTGAGGGATTTGCTAACAGCCTGGCAGGCCTGAGTGACACGGGCTCCTGTGTTACAGCTGTCCTACTAGCCAGCTGTACTGAGCTGTTTTATCAGTGGGAGAGACGTGTGCAGGTGGAGGTCAACCTCTGGCATCAAGTTCATGGAGTTACTCCAGAGAAATGCTGCTCGCAGGAAAAAATACCCCCAGCATCTGCTTTGGACTAGAGGAAAATCTGAATGTGGAGTAATATTCCAGCTAAAGATGTGCATGCCTCAAATTGGTGGTTAGCCTCCCTCCTTGCAGCACTTCTCTGGGAAGGAGGATTCCTATTTAATAGTGTTTCCTGGACCATGAGCCCCGAAGAGAGGAAAAAGATCATTTTGGTAACAGAGAAACCTGCTGGCAGGGCCAGGAGTGGATATTTTGGAAGCCTTGCCTGTTGATGGGGTGGGAAAGGAAAGGGAGGCTGTATGGTATTGGGACATTTCAGAAATCAAATAGAAGGATTCAGGTTTAAAAAGAAACATACAGAGAGGTGTTCCATTTTCTTACAAGCAGGTCTGACTTCAAAGTACAGCAGCATGTCAGCAGAACTTGCGGTGGGACTGTGTTATGCCCATACTCAGGATGCGCTACAAGTGTAATTTGTAACTTTTTGCAATACTCAACCGTGGTAAATGTGCTCTTCTCTTGTGTGTTACATGTGGCTGGCGTCAGCACTTATGGTGTGAACTGTGGCCTTTAGAATGTTCAGTCAGATTTTTGTTGACTACTTAGAAATAAAAGATTTCTGTATGGGTATAATTGCAACTACAGTTACAAGTTTCAGTTGACCAGGACTTGAATTTTTGTTTTAATTGAAGTACCAGGTGAGAACATCTAGTAAAAAAAAAAAAAAGAGAAAATTGCTTTCATGAATAAGAGTTCATTTACCAGCAATATGATACTTGACAAAAGTGTCTTGCTGTAAAACTGCTTGTGAAGTTATGACTTTTGATTCCAAAACAGCAGCTGTTACTTTGAAGGTGCTTGCTGCCTGATGGTTGGTTTTACTTACTGCTAATGAAGAATAGATGAATACTGAAAGGGTCTCTAGTTCATCTCAGGGATAATTTGACTGATTTGAAGTATTATAGTATTAGATCATCATCAGAGAGTTTATGTCCACTACAGGCAAAAGGTCCAGATCTCAGACCTCATGAAATATACTGTTACAACTCACTATATTGATCTACACTTGAATAAGATAAAAAACTGCAGAAAAAAAAATTAAGCCTTGTTTGGTTTTTTTTTTTAAATGTTGACTGTTCTTCAGGGTGTTGCAGGCATGCTTGATAGATTGCAAGCCATGTTTAATTTGTGATAGGGACCATCTCAGTAGAGGAGGTTCATTTCTATACATATTGTATTGTATTACATCACAAATAGGCTGCAGT